AGTTTAAATCGATTTTTTTAATCTATAACACGATTACATAGTATCATATAAATTGCTGAGTATTATATGAGTAGCATTGTGTCATATAAAAACAAAGAAGTGTCATATGAAAACAAAAAAGTGTCATATGAAAACAAGAAAGTGTCATATAAAAAGAAAAAAGTGTCATATAAAAACAAGAAAGTGTCATATGAAAACAAAAAATTGTCATATAAAAACAAGAAAGTGTCATAAAAAGGTGTCATATAAAAACAAAAAAAGTGTCACATATACAACATAACATCATCTTCATAACATAACAACAGCACAACATAACACCACATAACTCCAGCTACATAAGATCTTACCCCCACTTCTCATCCCCACTCTACCTATATCCTACTCACCCCCTCCCCCCCCCTTTCTCATCCTCAACTCATCCCCTACTCCTTCCTCCCCCACTCACTCCCTACTCCTTCCCCCCCTCCCCCACTTTTCCCCCTTCTCCTTCCCCCCCACTCACCCCCTTCTCCTTCCCCCCCACTTTTCCCACTCCCCCCTCCTCCCCCCCCCTTTTCTCCCTCCTCCCCCCTCCCTCTCACTCACCCCCTTCTCCTTCCCCACCCACTCATCCCCTTCTTCCTCCCCCCCCCGCAACCCCCCCCAAACTCACCCCCACTTACCCCCCACCGCAAACTCCCCCAACACCCCCACCGCAAACTCCCCCCCCCCCTCCCCCCGCAAACTCACCCCCACTTACCCCCTTCCTTCCTCTCCAGGTTCGGGAATTTTCGTAAGTCCAAAGGGCCTGTTAGAACGCACAGGAAGCGTCGGTCTCAGTCTCATCATATGGGCGGCGTGCGGTTTGCTCTCCTTGCTGGGTAAGTGAGTGAGGGTATGAGGAGGTTATGAGGGTATGAGTAAGGGTATGAGTAAGGGTATGAGGAGGGTATGAGGATAATGATTCATGAGGTTTTCGATTTTTATTATTTTTTTTTTTTGGGGGGCGGGGTTAATTTAATTTAATTTTATTTATTTATTTATTTATTTTATTATTATTTGTTTTTTTTTTTGAGAGGGGGCGGGGGTCAACGGATTATCGGTGAGTTTATGGTGTTTTTTTTTGTGCCTTTATGTCGAAGAAGGTAATGATGATTTTTTTTTTCATTTATTTTTATTTTTATTCTCCGTTGCAGGTTTCCCCTCCTGACTGCGACTGGTGTTGTGAAATGCGGGTTGCGGCGCCGTAGATTTTGTGATTTTTATAAATGATTGTAGTGCAATTGTGTGTGTATTTTCTCTCTCTCTTTCTCTCTCTCTCTCTCTCTCCCTCTCCCTCTCTCTCTCTCTCTCTCTCTCTCTCTCTCTCTCTCTCTCTCTCTCTCTCTCTCTCTCTCTCTCTCTCTCTCTCTCTCTCTTCTCTCTCTCCCCCCCCCCTCTCTCTCCTTTCTCTCTCTTCCCCCCCTCTCTCTCTCGCTGTATTATTAAAATTTAAACACGGTGCCATATTACAGAACTACGACAAAAGAAAGCAGGACTGAGAAGATAACAAGAACTAGAAAAATATTTGGTGATAATAACTCGATAACATGTACTGGTTAGGAATGCTTAAAAAAAGAAAAAAAAAAAAGTTGATTTTCACGTGAATCACGGTGATAATAATTTTTATTCTCCTTCACAGGTTTTATGATGTTGGTGATTTTTTTTTCTCTTGTTTCATACTTTTAGGCAGCTTGTATACGTGTAATTATTGTATTGCTGTTATTATCATTATCATGGGTATTATTATGGTTACTATTGGTAATTAATATTATCATCATTATCAGTCATTACTGGTAATGCTTATTCCAATTATTGTTATTATTATCATTGTCGTTATCATTATGTAGCTGCTACTGTCATTATCATTATCATCACTGCAATTATTACTGTTATTATCATCATTATCGTTATCGCCATTAACTATTTTTCTTTCTCTATAGGCAGTGGTTTTATGTATTGCAATATATTCCATGTTATATCGTCGTTTTATCGTTATATGCATATAGGCCTACGTACAGTTGAATAGGCGCTCTTCTGGAGGAAACGAGACACCATCTTCATGTTTGTTTTAACCCTTTAACTGCAAGCTAGAGTAGGCCTAGATCACTACCACCTAATTTTCTTTGTTTTTTTCTTGGTTAAACTATTTGAAATTGATTCAAGAAAATACATAGATTATAAAAATAGTATTTGAATGATAGAAAGTCATTTTACGGCATTAAAGATATGTTCAGTTTGCGTGTAGGTGGTGGTGCCTTAGGCTTATACGTGTATGTATATATATATACACAATGCTTGGCCAGTCTGTGGGTTAACCATTATTATCTTTAATCTTTGTTATCCTTATTTATGCAGCACATATAACTGTTATCTTTTTTCTCGCCCTTTCTTTCCTGCTTCCTTCTCCTGGACTCTGCGGGATTCCTTCAATTTTGCCGCCAAATGCTGTGTGTGGTGCGGCCGTCACTTCCACCTTGGACGGTTCTCCTGCGTGTGGTGTTTACGGATCTGCTGACGTCACTGCAAATGTTGAAAAAAAATTGTACATATTTCCGCCACCTGGATGTTGTCTGTTTTTTTATTTGTTTTTATTATTTTTTTATTATTCTTATTATGATTTTTTTTTGTCTTATTGCTATCTTTCATGTTATTGATATATATATATATATATATATATATATATATATATATATATATATATATATATATATATATAAAACGCCTGTTCATTGCGTCGTATGTACATATGTCCATATATGTACACATGTATTATATATACATATGTGGTGTCACTCTCGTATGACCCTCTTACACTTGGTCACTGCATGCTACATACACATCCCCTAAAACATACACACATGACGTCATCACCCTCCCCCTCTCTTCTCCCCCCCCCCTTCCCCCCCTTTGCCATACGCACAAACCACCACCACCAACACTAGGCGCATTGTGTTACGTGGAGTTAGGCTGCATGATCCCCTCCTCAGGGGCGGAACATACGTATTTCATGACGGCTTTTGGGCATCTGCCGGCGTTCCTGTTCGCCTGGGTGTCCATTATCATTCTGAAGCCCGCCATGCTAGCCATTATCTGCCTCTCCTTCTCCAAGTACTTGGTGGAGGCTTTCGCGTCTGACTGTGAACCACCTCTGACGGCTATCCAGCTGCTGGGGGCGCTGACCATAGGTGAGTGAGGGGTAGGGGAGGAGAGCCGGTGGGTGCACGTGGGTGTGGGAGAAAGTGTGGGTGTGGGTAGGTAAGGGGGTGGGTCAGTTGGGTAGGTGGGCGTGTGGGTATGGAAGGGGTAGGTCAGTTGGGTAGGTGGGGGTATGGGTGTGGGTAGGTAGGGGTGGGTCAGTTGGGTAAGTGGGTGTGTGGGTAGGTAAGGGTAGGTCAGTTGGGTAGGTGGGTGTGTGGGTGTGGGTATGGATGGATGTGGGTAACTGAGGGAGATCTCTTGGAGTTAGCATTTAGGTGCGTTGGTATGTGGGCGGGTGGGTGGGTGGGACGGGGAAGGCAGATGAATATTGATTTAGGGAAAGGATAGGCGTGGGTAGGCGTTGGTGGGTGGCCCTGGTGGGGGTTAGCCCGGGTATGCTGTGGGTAAGAATAGGTCCTACTGGGCGTGTGGGAAGAGAAGAGGAAGATTGATGACCAGGTGGGCGTGTGGGAAGGTAGTGTCCGTAACAAAGGAAGATTGAGTGAGAGAACAGGCCGTGGGCGTTTTATATTATTATTTATTTATTCATGTTATTATTTTTTACTTTTGTTTAGATAGTAAGGTTAAAAGAGTGATGAAGATATATATATATATTTTCGTTTCTTTTTGGAGTATGATCATGAGTATATTCCAAAACATGGGCATAGATAGAGTATAGTATATAGATAGATATATATAGATAGAGTATAGTATATAGATAAATAGATATTAATAGATAGTGCGTGTATATAGAGTGGGAAGTATAGACAGATTAAAGAGAACATAACTGTTATCCTGAAGGGGATTTCAAACAAATATTGAAAGTAAAAGTGAGATGTGAGATATGTACATAAAAAAACAGAAGAAGAGATGAAAGGAAATAAAAAAAACAGAAATCAAAGACATGAAAGGAAATAAAAAAAAGTGAAATCAAAGATATGAAAGTCGGAAAAAGCGAGATCAAAAAGCTGAGAAAAAAATGTCAAGAAGAAAGAAGAACAGAACTTGAATATAAAAAGAATTTCCAAGATTTTATCTGTGTTCTTTGAGAAAAAAAAAGGTTTCCCGTTTTGTGTCATTCTCCGTCGCCATAAACAAATTCCCGTTTTCTGTCATTCCGTGTCGCCATAAAAAAATTTCCCGTTTTCTGTCATTCCGTGTCGTCAAAAAAAAATCCCGTTTTCTGCCATTCCGTGTCGCCAAAAAAAAATTCCCGTTTTCTGTCATTCCGTGTCGTCATAAAAAAAATTCCCGTTTTCTGCCATTCCGTGTCGCCAAAAAATTACCGTTTTCTGTCATTCCGTGTCGCCTTCAAAGAAAATGGATTTCCTTCCTGCACGTTCCAACCTTGCTTGCTCTATTTTTTTTCCTTTTAATTTATGTTGCAATTTTTTTCCCCAGTTTATTGCGTGGTGTGTTTTGTAATGATATGACTTCTTATTTTAGATTTATTTTGCTTCAGAATTTTATTTCAGATATACATACCAGGCTTTTTCCAGCATGTGTAGTGATATTTTCGTCATATTAATAGACAATTATTTTTTCAGGACAATTTAAGCTTGTGTATTTTAGTAAATGTTTACGTTTGTTGTTTTTTTCAGTGTTTTATAATTTTGCTTTTTACAGTTATTATGCTATTGTGTTCTTTTCTTTTGCATGATTTTGTCTCATTACCTGACAATGCCTTTTGTATTTTTAGTTTGTTAGTTACACAAATATCCTCTGTGTGGATATTTGAGTGGCGTCTTTTTGTTACGTCATCATTATCTATATTATTTTCCATTGCGTATAATGTTATTTGCATTTCCTCCTCTTCATTTTTATTTTAACCCTGCACTCCCTATTCACGATAGTTGTGTTGCTTACTGTGTAATCCCAGAACCAAAGTAGTACAAATATAACCGCCTAAGCTTTTTATCATATCCTGTATTTTTTTTCTTTTTTTGTGTGTGAAGTAGAGCATAATTTGTATCACATTGCATTTTGTTTTTGTTTTTTTGTTTCTCTCTTCCCGTTTTATTTTAACCCTGCACTCCCTAACCTCCCCCCATCCGTGACGTCACCAGGAGCCCTCTCCTACGCCGAGCTCGGAACACTCGTCTCGGAGTCGGGAGCTGAACACGCCTATTACATGCAAGCCTTCGCCCCTAACGAGAAGCGAAAGTCGTGGTGGGGCCCGATTCCCGCTTTCCTGTACGCGTGGGTGTCGGTTTTCCTCCTGAAACCTTCGTCCCTCGCTATTATTTGCCTCACGTGCGCAGAGTACTTCGTGAGGATTTTTGCGGCGAGTATCGACTGCCTTCCGCCCCAGGAGTCGGTCAAACTCGTGGCCTGCGTCGTCATAAGTACTTTGCCTCTCATTTCTGTCTCTTCAAAGTTAGAAGCTAGTTTTGTGATCTTAATAAAGATTTTTTGTTGTTAGGTCTTATATAAATATGAATATAAAAATAGGTATATATAATATCAGTTTGAAGCTAGTTTTGTGATCTTAATAAAGATTTTTTGCTGTTAGGTCTTATATAAATATGAATATAAAAATAGGTATATATGATATCAATAAGGATATGAATATAGATATAAATATGAATTAAATATATATATGTATATATATGTATATTTTACATATGTTTATGTGGAAAACAACAACAATAAGCAAAGTTGAAATAATGCCGAATTTATATATATATTTTTTCACAAGAAAAGTGGTAGATGAGAGGGAGGGGGGAGGGGGGTCCATGGTTGATTATTTAGGCCTAAGATTTGATGAAATATGCTTGTTATAATGTGGTGCCAATGACCGTGATATATAATTGTTTATATTGTTTATTACGTACCCATATATACACACAAATAGAGAGACGTATTCATAAATATCAATATAAACATAGATGTACATATAAACACACACACACGCACACACAGAAACAAACACGCACACACCTTTCCTTTTCTTGGCCAAAAAATAACCGGTTCTTTTTCTCTCCCCCCCCCGCCCTTTTCTCTTCCACCTTTTCTCCTCTTTCTCTTTCATTCATTCTTACCTTTCACCCTCGTCTCTCCCTTTCCCTCTGCCTCCTCCTCCCTCCCTTCCTCCTTCCTCCCCCCCCCTCCTCCTTCCTACCCCTCCCTCCTCCTCCTTACCCCTCCCCCTTCCTCCATCCTCCTTCCCTCCTTTCCTCCTCTCTCACTTCCTCCTCTCTCACTTCCTCCTCTCCTCCTTATTACCCCTTCCTCCTTTCCTCCTTCCTCCTCTCCTCCTCTCCTCCTTTCCTCCTTTCCTCCTCTCCCTCCTCTCCCTCCTCTCCTCTCCTTTCCTCCTCTCCTCTCCCTCCTCCTAACGGTCCACCCCCCCCCTCAGTTCTCATCACCTTCATCAACTCCTACTCCGTCACGCTGGCCACCAAGGTCCAGAACATCTTCACGGCGGCCAAACTACTGGCCATCCTGATCATTGTGGTGGGCGGGGCGGTGCGGCTGATCCAGGGGAACACGCAGTACCTGGCCACGGGATTCCATGGCTCCACCTCCAGTTTCGGGGACATCGCTACGGCCTTCTACAGCGGTCTGTGGGCCTACGATGGATGGTGAGTTTGGGGTGTTTGGGGGAGGGGGTGTTTTTTTTTTTTTTGGGGGGGGGGTGTTGGGGGGGGGGTGATAGAGGTGGGGGAAGGGGTATGGAGGGTGTCGGGGGTGGAGGTGTAGGGGTGGGAGGAGGGGATGGAGAGAGTGGGAGGAGTGTGTGTGTGGGTTGGTGGTTGTTGAGAGAGAGAGGAAGAGAGGGAGAGAGGAAGAGAGGGAGAGAGGAAGAGAGAGAGAGTGGAAGAGAGAGAGGGGGGAAGAGAGAGAGACGGGAAGAGAGAGAGGAAGAGAGAGAGAGAGAGAGGAAGAGAGAGGAAGATAGAGAGAGAGGAAGAGAGAGAGGAAGAGAGAGAGAGAGGAAGAGAGAGAGGAAGAGAGAAACAGGAAGAGACAGACAGGGAGAGAAAGGAAGAAAGAGAGAGACAGACAGACAGACAGAGAGACAGAGAGAAAAACAGAGACAGATATACAAAAATATTAGGGAGAGAATGCAAAGAAAAGAGAGCAAGAGAAAGAGAGATAACTCGCCCGACCAACAGAAGATAACCAAACGAAGATCCAACATGACCGCCATGCTTACGACAGCATAAACACAGCTCGGGCTTGGATATTACAAGCAACATTCTTGCAAGCTCAGCATAAAACTTCACCATAAAACAAAAGTCATAAACCAAAGCCTGCGTTATTAGCTCCCGTCATCAC